CTGGGACTTGTTTATTATTTATTTAGGCACTGGGGCTTAAATCCAGGTTCTCCTGTATGCCAGGATTGTGCTCTACATTGCGCTATATTTCCAGCTCTGTTTTTAAAATTTTTAAATTGTTTTAATGGTTGGGAAGGTGGCTGAGCCTGTAAAGGCACTCACCACTCAGTCTGAAAACCTGAATTCAATCTCTAGGACCCTAATGGCGGAAGGAAAAAACTGACACGCAAAGTCTTCTGACCTCCACATAGAGGTAGGGTGTGTCCTCCCTCTTCTACATGCCTTCCAGAGTTAAAATGTTGTGTGTGTGTGTGTGTGTGTGTGTGTGCGCATATGTGTGATGGTGTGCCTGTGGAGGGCCTGGCAAACTGGAATCAGACCTCTCCTTTCAATTTTATATGGGTTCTGGGCTCAAACTCAGATCACTAGCTTTTTAGGGTACATGCCCTTTGTCTTAGGGTTTCTGTTGCTGTGATGAAATACCATGACCAAAAAGCAAGTTGGGGGAGAAAGTGTTTATCTGGCTTAAACTTCCATATTGGGGTTCATTGTTGAAGGAAGTCAGCATAAGAACCCAGGCTGGCTAGGCTCAGTGGTTCACCCCTTTAATCCCAGCACTCGGGAGGCAGAGGGTGGAGGCACCCTACAAATGGAGTCCGGGACAGCAGAAACTGTGTCTTGGAAAAAAACAAACCCAAGCAGGACTGAAACCTGGAGGCATGAACTGATTCAAAAGCCATGAAGGACGCTACTCACTGGCTAATTCCTCAGGGCTCGATCGTTTTTATTTATTTATTTTATGTGTGTTAGTGTGAAGGTGTCAGATCCTGCATTGGCCTTACAGACAGTTGTGAGCTTCTATGTGGGTGCTGAGAATTGAACCAGGGTCCATTTAGAAGAGCAAACAGTTCTCTTATCTGCTAAGCCATCTCTCTAGCCCTAGTCTGCTTTCTTGTAGAACCCACCAGCTTGGGGATGGCATTACCTACCAAGGGCTGGACTCTCCCACATTGATCACTAACTGAGAAAATCCCTTACACCTTTTTTTTTTTTTAATTTGAGACAGGGTTTCTGTGTAGCCTTGGTTGTCCAGTACTCCCTTTGTAGACCAGGCTGGCCTTGAACTCACAGAGATCTGCCTGCCTCAGCCTCCCCCAGTGCTGAGACTTGCTCTCCAGAGCAAGTCCAGGACAGCCAGGGCTTGTTACACATAGGAACCATGTCATGGAAAAAAAAAAATCTGAGTTTGAGGACAGCCTGGTCTACAGAATGAGTTCCAGGACAGCCAGGGCTACACAGAGAAACCAGTGTCTGAAAAGAAAAGAAAAGAAAAGAAAAGAAAAGAAAAGAAAAGAAAAGGGAAGAGAAGAGAAGAGAAAAGAAAAGGAAAGAAAACTTGGGTGTGATTGGGCATGCCTTTAATTCCAGCACTCAGGGAGGCAGAAGGCAGAGGCTGTAAGCTGGAAGCCAGCCGGGTCTACAAAGTGAGTCCAGGACAGTTAAAGCTACACAGAGAAACTCTGTCTCAAATAAATAAATAAATAAATAAATAAATAAATAAATAAATAAATAAA